GTCTCGGGTGCAGGCTGCAAAGTGACTAAGACTCGCTGAGACCATTCTTAAGTTTATGGCAGCCTTTGCCATAACATTATGGAATGTTGTAAGACTCCCTATAGGCAGTAATAAGTTAAAATCCTGCTAATGCTACTGGATTCTTTGTGAAGGAGCAATTTTTCAATTACACATAATTAATAGTAATTACCCTTTATCTTCAGAGACCAGAACAAAGAATAATTAATCCATCTTAACATCCCCGTTAAGGAGGTATTAAACATGGGGGTTTTGCACAGCAGATTGCATAGTAAATTATGTGGCTACAGTTGAGTCTGTGTTCCCTAATACAGAAAGGAAAGAGAAAGGAGTCCTGAACTATCTGAACTAATATTCTAGTTCTCACCTTAATTTAATTAAGTAGTTTGGAAGCAGCTGTTAGCTTCTTGCAGCAGCTTGCTGCAAATGAAGTGTGCTGCCTGCAGATCACTCATACACAGCAGCAGTTTTACCATATTGATAAATAGTAACATTCAAGTGGACAGTTTACTAATTTTTAACATATATCTATGAATAAGGTATTTGCAATTATCCTCATTGCAGAGCTGGAGAAAATGAAACCCAGAATTCTAAGTGCAGCTTCTCACTTTACACATCACTTTTTTGTACTGCTCTTCTCTCACACTGGTTTTTGCTGCATAGGGAAACTCCTGATTGTGTTCATGCTAGACAGCACATGCCAAACTCACAGACACTTAATGCCCTTTATCAGATCTTAATATGTGGCTTCAATCTTCCAGTATCACTTCCAATTTCCAATTTAATGGAAGCTCACCTTATAAAGACATGGGATGTCTCTCAGAATACATCTTGTTCTTGACTATTAAAAAAATCAAAGAAATGTGAATTTACTATTTTGAACTTAAGCAAGTAGTCCAAGATCGCACTGCCAGCACTGAAAGAGCTTTCAACAGAATTTGCTTCAAACACATGGTTTTGCAAGAGAATTACTCCACAAGGCAGGATGACAGCAAAGATGAGGGCAGTGCTGCAGGCAGCACACAGGGCAGCTCATGTGGCAGCTCTGACAGACCAGCAGTCTCTGACCCATGACAGCTTGGGTGTACAGAAAGCTTATGATTAATGATTACATGTTAGGGTGATGTAAAAAATGGGATAGCTTTTAGTCTTATGTGTATTGATCTGAGGGAACCTGAACTAAAAAGAGAGGAGTAGAGAGACAGAAAATGAGGGAGAGTACAAAGGAAGAGACCAAAGGGAGAAGGAGAATGTCCCAAATGTTAAATGAAAGCATCTGCATGAAAAGCTCCAGGCCAGCATGCTCAGAGAATGCACTCTTCTGTCTCAGTGACCTTGTGAAGATAAACTGAACAAAAAGCTTCAGGCAACATCAGACAGGATTTAAGAAACAGTTTTAATTTTAGCCAGATTGTTTTGTATTTTCAGCTCTGAGGTTATCTGGGGATTCAATGTGCAAACAAAATTAATTGTCTCCCTCAACTCTGCTATCACACCTGACGGCAAATTCAGTTCTGTGCTTTCAGGGAGAAGCAGAAATCTTTATTTTGGCTACACATGGAAGATATAATAAGATATAATTGTGGTATCACAAGGACGGAGTACCAAGGCATCCTAATTTTACTCTGGAATGTAATTACTTGGCTACTTCATGTACAAGCAACATAGCAGACCTACACTCCAACACAGTTTGTGCTGATATGCCAGTTCTTTCTACTCGCTTTATGTCCTTGCTCTCATCCCCAGACAGCTGTTTGCCATGAAGAACCTGTTTACTCCCCCTCTACCTTAGTTTCCTCATCAATAAAATGGAAGCATTCTACCTGAAGAGTGCAAGGATTCACTAAAATGTGTGTGTGTGAGCGTTATTGAATACACCTACTGGTAATTTTAATTACTTGTAATTACAAATTAGCAAATACATACAAACTCTAGGAGCTGGCTGCACACAAGAAAACTTGCATTCATCACAATCTATTGCAGATTATTAGCACAATTAATTCCATACAAAACAAATGCAATCTGACATGGAACCTGGAGATACAGATGATATGTAGATCTGAAGTGAGGGTCTAGACCTTTAAGTAGTAAAATGTCAAATAAAGAACTAAAATTGTAATAAAACCTACCCAGACTGATTGGTACTAGCTCCTCTGCAGGCACAGATAACAAACCATATATAATAAACAGCAGTTGGGAAAATGAGACCTCAGTAATCCTCCTGCACCTCCCTAGTACCACCACTTCATTGGACAATCACTGATGAACATTTACACTGGTGAAAAATCTATCGAAGGTTCTCGAACTTCTTTACAAATAGTCTCTAATGTGTACAGACAGTACATGCTATTTCCCCCATCCTTGCATGCTCTGTTCTCCATAACCTCTATCTGATAAGACATCCCAAATCCAAATTGTCTTTCCCAGTCTGCAGGAGAGACATCCATCCTCTCTCTTGGCAGGTCTCTTGACCCATTCTTCCATTTAAATAGCGTTTTCTTATTTTTTTCTCTCTCAGAGCTTTTCTTAGGATACAGTTCTTTCCCGCCTTGAGTGTATAACTCACCATCACTTGCAATAGTTTCTTGAATCCCTGACACTGGAATCAAAACAGCAGAGCTGGCAGAGGATGAGAGTGAGAAGGTGGGAAAACAAATGTGAAGATGTTGTAACCTTTTAGTCCTGTGCTGTCAGCTCAGCACACCAGGATGCCTGACTGGGCTCACACACCTTACTAAGACAGACAGTGACTGTGCAGGGAGCTGTGGTAACTCAGGTCTGCTCTGTGCATCCTCCAAACCAGCAATAGGGAACTAAGGCAATACCCTCCATGAAATGAAGCAGCACGGGGCTATGTCACAACACTGCTCTCTGCACCGTGTCTCTCCTGATCAGCCTTCTGGACCGAAAACAGAGGCCTGTGCTGTGCACAGGGCCCAGCCTGTAGCATGCACAGTGCACATGTCCTATTGGATTACAGGGCAGAGTGCACTCACATGCTCTGCTTGTCAGAGCCCAGCGTCCCTCTGCGAAAAGGAAATAAAGGAGGGGATGGATAAAAGCAACCTGAGCAGCACAGGGCAACCCGAGCCCTGTCAGAAGGCAGGATGGGGGATGCCACCACAAACACAGGGGCAGCAGGGAAATGTACCTGGCAGGCACACTGTAAGCCTAAACTGGAATCTCACTCCACGAAGAAAATCAATGGGAATCTTCATGGACTTTAATATTGTTCAAAAATGTGAGACTAGCTTATCACCTAGGAGCTCATTGTATTGACAAGTGGAACAGATGACAGTTAGATCCCCATTTGGATGCTAAAACACAGAGCAATACGGCAAAGATCAATGCAATGCAGTCCTCTTATCGAGAAAATGTTTCTATCTGCATTAGCTTCAAAACTGCCCCCAGTCCCTCTGATCGTGGCCCAAGAGAAAAGGTCTCTTAGAAGTCCATACCGGGCTTTGTGCTTTTTTCTCCACAGGCAACTCATATTTTGCAGTTCTTAGAAAAAACATGACTTGAAAACGTGATCACAGGTGAAGGAGAGGAGTTAATAGCGAAAGGGAGAGAGCAGCAGAACAGGCGTCTGTTTCAGAGGGCAGAAGTTTATCACCCAGGACAGGATTTCCACTGGGTTTATCATTGTTTTCTGTGTCTAGAATGAAGGTCATTAAAGATGTTTCCACTCTGAATTAGCAATGAGTTCCCACTTAATCTACAGTGTCTCAGCACTCGTATGTGACTTGGCTCCAAGAACCTCGGTGAAACTCTTTCTCCCATCTCACATTCAGATATCTACCTCACATCTTTTCCCTTATTCTCCCCACTCCTCTCTCCTCAGTTTATTCTCCTAATAGATCCTTTTAAAAAGCCCTCCCTGCCTCCTTGACCGTGTCACACATCACAGTTTGGGACACCACTACAGAAATTATTATAGGAAGTAACTCTGTTCCACAATTTCCTCAGCTGTTGTCATTAATTAGCACATATCCCCAAACCCCCGATACCTGGAGCCTGAGGGGCTACAAATACTGGAGCAGTTTTCTGAGGCAGCAAAGGCAGAGCTCTTAGGAGCACCGGGGAGGCTCTGGAAGCTCTGCTGAAGCCTTTGAGGGGCAGGTACTCTCCCTCCTCCACCGGACCTCCGACAGCTCCCATCGCACGGAGACGTGCCGTTTAGCTCATTTAGACTTTTTAGGCACAAGACAAGGCTGGCTTGGCCAGGGCGGGTCGGTGCAAGGCAGCGAAAGGGACTAAAGGCGAAGCATCCGACCCTGGGCAGAGCCCGCGCTCCCGCCGCCCCCTCAGCCGCCCCCTCACGCCGGCCCGCGCGCCGCGCGCGCCCCCTGGCGGAGGGCGGGAGCAGGCGGTGGGGGCGGCGCGCGGGACCCGGAGGGGAGCGGGCGGCAAGAGGGACAATGGGAACCGGCGTGTGCCGGGAATGGTGCGGGCAGCGGGACCAGGGAGCCATCGTCCCCCGGGACTCGGCACTGCTGAGGCCGCGCCTCAAGTGTTGTGTCCAGTTCTGGGCCCCCAAGTTCAGGAAGGATACTGAGGAGTAATATACCCCAGCCAGAACGTCCCAGGATATCCTCCGCGAACAGTGCTTGGGTCCAGAGGAGGGAGAGGGTCTGGAGCGTATGTCATTGTGAGGAACGGCTGAGGGAGTTTGGGGTGTTTAGCCTGGAGGAGGTTCAGGAGGGACCACATGGCTCCCTACAAGTACCTGAAAGGGAGCTGGATTCAGGTGGGGATCGGGCTTTTCTCCCAGGCAACAAGCGACAGGACAAGAGAAACAGTGTTAAGCTGCGCCAAGGGAAGTTTAGGTCGGTCGTCAGGAGGAATTTCTTCACGGAAAGGGTGATCAGACACTGGAATGGGCTACCCAGGGTGATGGAGTCATCGTCCTTGGAGGTGTTTAAAGAAAGACTGGACATAGTCTAGCTAATATGGTGGTGACTGCTCATGGGATGGGCACGATGACCTCGAGTCTTTTCCGACCCAAGTCATTCAGACTCCGTGACCCGCCGGCGGCTCGCGGCAGCACCGCGCACGCGCGGCACATGGAGGGAGGCGGGGCCTCGCTGTCCTTCCTCTGTCCCCGCCCCCGCAAGCCGGCCATTGGCTACAGCTGCGGAGGCTCCTTGCCCATTGGCCGGGCGCGCCGTCCGTCCGTGCCGCGCGCCGCCGCCGCCATGGTGCGCTTCAAGAACAGGTGAGGCGGGCGGGAGGCGCCGCTGCGGTGTCCGGGCCGGTCCCATCCCGCGCCGCTCACACCGCGCTGTCCCGCAGGTATGTGCTCTGCGAGGTGGTCTCGGAGGACCCGCGGTGCCGGCAGTGCATCGAGGACCGCGCGCTGGGCCTGGCCGTCAGAGACGCCATCGCACGGGTGCACGGGGACTACGGCCTGGCGTGCTGCTCCATCTCCTTCACAGGTGCGGGCGAGACGGGCGGCCCGGGGCTGCGGGGTCCCTGCGGGTCCGCTCAGCTGTGCGTGTGTCCCCGCAGTGAAATACCTGAACGCTTACACCGGGACGGTGCTGCTGCGGTGCCGCAAGGACTCGTACCGGCTGCTGTGCTCCGCGCTGCCCTTCGTGCGCTCCCTGGAGAGCCGCGCCCAGCGCTACCCCTGCTTCCTCAACACCCTGCACGTCGGAGGTCAGGACCCCCCGCGCCTGGGGGGAGGACGGAGCTTTACCTGCCACGACCCCGTGGTGCTGCTCTGTGTGCGACAGACATTCCACGTGTGTTATTAACAGTAACTGCTTTCAGCAGATCTATTTTGAAACCCTCGTTAATTTTGCTTGAAAGCTTCATTACATTTATCACAAAACCAGAGCAGCAGATACAATGTTACGTTATTTTTAAATGTGTTTTCAAAAGTATAGTATCTTCTGTATTGTGAAAATTAACCCCCAGGGGAACTAGCAGGCACTGCATGTTAGAAGTTATTACTCCACCACTTGACCTCAGCAGTGCAGAAATTAAGTACAGCCCCTTCGTAGCATTTGCATTAACAACCGTGTTTTTCACTTGCAACCACATTTGTCACTTGATACAATGCTCTTTGGGAAATATGCAAGCAGCTCTAAAACATTTGTTTGTGTAGATTGTTACATGATGTTCTTGTGACTTCCACAGGTACCATAAGAACATGTCAGAAATTTCTGATTCAGTATAACAGAACACAGCTGCTAAGGTTGTTGCAAAACTGTACAAATGAAGGTGAGTTTCTTCAGCCACTTTCCTAAAATGTAGCCTCAGTTCCTGGGGTTTTTGTAGGATATACTGAGCTACTTCTAAATTCTTGGCCTGAGAAATGTTGCTGTCTTTAGCTGTGGAGGATAGCCCAGGGTATATGAAGAGATCATGTAATAACCCTCTGTTGCTTTCTTTATTGCAGAGGAGAGACAAAGTGTACAGAAGTCCTTGTTGAGCTGTTCCCTGACAGAAGAGCAGTCTCAAAGTGGAGATGAGGAGGAGGAGGATGATGATGATGGCATAGAGACAGACTGAACGTCACTCACTTGTTACTGTTCACCTCCATTCTGTATTTGTTTAATCAAGATGGGACTGGTTATCTTCCGTGTTAAGCAGTGTTTACATTTAGACTTCATTCCCAATTCCAAATGTTTGTAAATTTAAAAAAAAATTAAAATATTATTTCACTTAAGTAGGCTTCTTGCCTATTTCACTCCAGGAGTCAAAACCACTTGCACTCTTAAGGAGTGTAGAAGCTCAATGTGTTCTTCATGCTGAGGTAGAAGGGAGCTTTAGGCAGTTGGCACAGACAAGGAATGTAGTTATTCTCTTCCATCGTACAAAAAGCATTAACATCTGCTTTATACCTTATCTTTAAATGCACTGTTAGCCACAGGGCTATCCTGTTTCGACTGAGAAAAGCACCAGTTGTGTACACAGGAGCAGAGAGTACATGGAATGCATGGCAGAGCTACAGGCTCAACTCCATCCCCCCCATTATAAAACTCATAGGTACAAGTACTGCTTAGATATTTATTAAAGTTTACACCAATCAGTTACAGGAAAGTAGCATTGCTGGTATTATCTCGAATCCATAGGAAAACAAGATACAATTGAAGATGCTGTCCCTGTGGGGATTGCCCCTGCAGCAGGGACAGCCTGCCCTGCCCGCATCACTTTCCTTATCCTAGTGCCTGTGACATGTGGAGGTGAGGCACGCCAGCTCCAGCTATTCTCTCTTCCCAATGCAAAGAAAAGTTGACTATAAATGTGCAGATAATAGAACACAACAGATACTGGTTAGACACTTAAGTAGTTACTCCTGTTCCATAGCTTAAAATGACTTGCTGTAAACACAGTTCACTGCATATTTGAATCTCTCTTAGTTGTTTTCTCTGCCCTCACCAACTGTTTTCCCATATGCATTTAAATTATTGACAGCAAGATGTGTTACCACTTTCAGGCATCTTGTCTTAATTTCTTTGCAGTCCCTGACAAGCTGTACTGTCTTTCCGTTGAGTAGGGTTAGTTGTGACCAAGCGTGAAGTCAAGCTGCTTTCAGAGAATGTTTTGCAGGTGTTTCCTCTGTCCTGCAGCAGTTGGAAGTATTCTTTACCTCCCCCTCCTCCTGTTCTTTCTGGTTTACAGCCACATGTGATGGACTCTTTGGTACCAGCTTCCCATGAGGCACACATGTGATGTCTGTTGCTCTGAAATTAAGCACCCGTGTGCTGTCATCAGCTTTTTAAATAGGGACACAACCACTGACTGCCAGTGGTGTTGGAATACCTAACTCCAGGTGCCTCAGACACACACTTCCTTGCTCAGATCAATGTCAGAGGGACAGAGCACACTGCAGCCTGTGCCACTGGGGCTGAAGACAACAGAAGACACTGTCAGTCTCCCTCCCTAATTCAGTGGTATTTTGTACCAGCACCCTGCAATTAATTCTGCCAGCAGGAAGGTAAAATTTGAATCTGTGCAATGTTCTAGGGTTCCACGCTGCTGTGACAGTTCAGCTACAGCTGAGGAAGGTGCAGTACTGTAAGTGCATGTGCATATGATTTATTGCAACAGTTGGCCTTGACTGGTACATTACACCTAAAATTAATTTTATTCAACAAAATCCATACCACTTAACTCATTAGCTCAAATCAAACCACAAGCAGTGCAGAATGTGACCACCCAAAGAAAGAGCAGGGAGGGGTCCAGAACAGACATGTTTGTAGCACAGATCAACTTAAATCCCAAAACCAAGCAGATACAGGCCCTTATCCCAGTACAAGAGAACCCCAGTTTCTTGCTGGGGTATAAAAGTTGTCTACAGACTTCAGCTATCAGTTGTTCTTCCAACTCAAGAGCAGCCAGTGTCAAACCATCATTCAGATGGTTACCAGGAGCCCTAGAGGGGAGTGTTTATTCTAGACGATCAGGTTAAAAAGAATGTATAGCCATGGCTGGCAAAAAACAAACAAAAAGTAGCAGCCTCACTCACCCACATTAAAACAGACCTGAACAACTGAGAGAAGTCAGGAGGTTCCTTCTATCACTAGTGCCATTTTGAAATACACAAATCATGAAGCCACTTTAAAACCAAGTAGCCAAGTTCTGCTTTACACTCACCTCAGCTTTGTATCTTTCCAAGCCAGGAGAACAGGAGGAATTCTTGCTCTTTAGGAAAAGAACAGATATAGCAGCTAACACTCTAAAGCCAGTAAGCTCTTTTGCCTGTTTCCAGTGCAGCCAAAACCAGTTTCTCAAGACAGCAGTTTGACAGCTTTACTGCAACAGCACTATGTCAGTCAGATGGACTTTCTGACCATGAATAATTACAGGAAAATAAAGGCTCTCTGCCTTTTCTCTTGGGTAATATTGCAGTACTTTGGCAGTGCCACACAGCTGTAAGGACTTTTACACTGCTTATCAGGCCCAAAAGACTGACCCAGCAACTAGAAGCCTTGGCAGATTTGTCTCTGGGTTGTTACTTCCAAAACTCTGTTTCAGTATAAATTCATTAAGCAGTTGGAATAAAAACATGTTACTTCAACAGATACTGTCACGGTTTCCTCCTGAAGCCCCTAAAAGTCCTGGAAACACAAGTTTAGGCTGTTCAAATTTAAATACTTAAACTATAGCAGCAAAACAAAGCAAAATTAAAAGAAAACCAGGAGAGGAAACTTCTCTTGAATAGCAGAATCACTTTGTGTGAACAACAGAGGTGCTGAACAATAGCTTCTGCTTCTGTTTCTTTCTTTTCTTGCCTCCCTTTTCCTCTGTGAAGAATTAAAATGATACTGTCATTCTTGTCTTAGAAAAGGAACATCACACACAAATGATAAATGGTATTCCCTGGCTTAAGTGGCTTCTACAGATCCACAACACTTCCTATCAATTCACTGAACATCAGGTAGTTTAACAAAAAAATGACTGCAGATGGACTAAGGGAGACTGTCACACCTGAAACAATTATAAACATGCCTAAATGATTGTAAAGTTGCTGTTGCAACAGCAGATCCTAGGACTGCAGCATCCAGCAGTTTGCTTTTCCAACAAGTATCACTTTCGTACATGTCCAAAAAACCACAACTGGAGCAGAAACTCCATTGAAACTCCCAGGCCCTCCCATCCAACTCTCTCCATCTGCCAGTGCAGTCTCCAAGCAGAAGCCAAAGCTAAACATCAGAACTGAGCATTAAAAATAAGTTTCACCAGCCACCACCAGGTTTAAGTTCACCTCAATTAGTTTCACATTCCTTAATTTGAATTTCAGCTAGCAGTTACCTCGATATTTTGGTCAAACTGAAGTGGTAGTTCAGCAGCTCAGTTATTTTTAGTTTAGAAATATAAACCCTGAACTTCCTTAAGATAAAACTTAATTTAGGCTCCAGCAAAGACATGGTCAACACAATTGTCAAAAACCATCTTTGTCCTAACAGGATTCTTTGCTAGTTGGAGATTTCAGCTCCCACTAAGAGGGCGCTTTAAGCTGACAGAAGCCCTGGTCAAGCTGTTCAGAAACCATAACCCAACAGTTTTCAGAACTGTTCTCTGGTCAATTTTTGGTCCCCAAATTTTTTTCACTTCAGAAAGTTTTCCTGCCTTTTACCTGATAAATGATCAGCTGTGGACGGCTTGTCCAGTTTCAGGAGGGCTGCCTCAATAGCTTGGCTGAAGGAATTCTGGAAGCTGGGCACAGGTATCCGGTCAGAGCTGTCACTTTCTCCATCACTATCTCCAGGCACAGGGAGTGCCAGAGTGTTCTCATCTGAAAGAGGGAAGGACATGCAGAAGGCTGTCTAAAACTTTCACCACACAAATGCCCCTCCACAATCCAGATCTTTCTTTTGAAGTCACAAGATGTGTCACATTTAGATGCATGGTAATGAACCTGAAGTACTAATAGCAAATTTTCTTACCTCTTGTCTTTGGAGCAGGTTTAGGCCACGTTTCAGGTTTTGCCTTTCCAACTCTCAACATCTATCAAAAAAGTTGTAGGATATGATTAAATTCCACATACTTGAACAATGCTGCAGACCCCCTAAGTGGCAAGAAAATCTATAAATCCCTTCAAGCACTCAAACCTTATCATGTCCCCCTAGGATTTATCCCACATTGTTTTGGTAGGGGAAGCAATTGTAGTTTCAGTCTAATCCCCAACTAAGACACAGGTAATTCTGACAACATTCACTCTGCAGGTTTACCTGGGCAAAGGAAGGGAAGGGAGACTCTTCTTCCAAACTTCCACAGAGCAATGGGCTGACCTGGCTGGCAGCAGGTGACAGCGGACTTGGAATAGACTCTAGAGAAAGGAAATGAGAATTAAAGCCTGTTGCATTTGGCCAAGGCAGTCATTATGCTGCTTATCAGGATGTAACAGAAATAAAGCTTTATTATCTACATAATTACTCATTCTGATCTTACTGGTTCTATCTGTCACACAATGGGATCTCTCAAATCTCCTCAACCTTTTTATTTAAGGGAAATTTAAGTTTGCTTGTGGTTTTTTTGTTTGTTTGAGGAGCTTCGTTTACTTATTTTGGGAAGCTGGGGGGAGCTTTTTGTTGGCTTTATTTCAGAATAACATGTTGGAGAAGATGTGGAGATAACATAAAAAAAAAAAATCCAGTAGTGTTGTCCTGGCAAACACAATTTTCTTCCCTTTTTGGGGCAATCGTTTCCTTTCTTCTGCCTCGTGTAAAAGATAGGGTAACTACAGTACAGATCTCATATTGTCAAAGTAGAAGCAGTAAAAAGCAGACAAAGGAACAGAATGTTTCTTAACCATGTCTGCCTTTTGTGTTTCTCTCACAGGCAGTCTAGGAAAGAGTCATAGAATCACAGAATGGCTGGGTTGGAAAGGGCTTGAAGATCATCTCAATCCACCCTCCTGCCTTGGGCAGGCACACCTGTCACTACACCAGGCTGCTCCAAGCCCCATCCAACTTCACCTTTAACACTTTCGGGGACAGAGCAGCCAGAGCTTCTCTGAAAAGCTGTCTTTGATCAGTACTGAGAAAGTTTAGCATGACCTGAGCAATAGATCCCAAAAGAATGATCAAGAGATAGATTTGATGTGTTTTTCCAGATGCTCACCTGTCTGAAACACAGGGCTTCTGCCAAGAGGAGACTGAGAGAAGCCCTGCTGATCAACACTGGTAGTTTCTCCGGAGCAAGAGGTAAAAGCAGGGAACTGCTGCAGATTCTCTAGAGCAATATGGACCTCTGGATCTAGAAAGAGATTTTAAATTAAAGCACTACACAATGTGGGGGAGGACTGTCAATATGCAAGTAATTTCAGGAGCCTAGGAGGTGCCAACTCATTTCTTTCCACTCTCTATTTGGAGACCAGTACAAGCCCTGCTGCTGGATGGAAGCAGTTTCTAGGCCTTTTTTTGCCTTCTTCACTTTCCACTTTACATCGTGATTACTATAAAAACAGAGAGCTATGTACACCATGGAGATAGCTGTGCCCTTGAATGCCCTCCATCTCCCCCAAAATGCACGTGTATGCAGCAATTGCATAACATCATTTAACATCCTGGCTAAAACAGCTTATGTTTTTCATTATACAGACATTGTTCCTAATACTTTGTAATCTTGTTCTAAGTACACACTATGAACTACAGGCCTCAGAGGTCATCCTATAGCTCAAGAAATCAGCTCAGCAACCAAATATGACTGAAAATCCACCAGCTATGTGCCATCATGACTCACATTTGCCCTGTTTCTTGTTTTCCTCTATCTCAATCCTGCGTTCGCGCCGTCGTTCATCGCGAGCTTTCTTCTGCCGTAGACGTTTCCTCTTTTCAAGGTCATCTAGGAGCAGTGCACAACACTGGATATTAAAAACCCACACCAGTACTCTAGCAAGGTTTCCTCCAGCTCTGACAACAACCTTGTAACACATAAGTAACAAAATACGCTTACAAAAAACATGCTCTTCCAAGCAGTTGGGATTTTTTATTCTTTTTGTAATTGCTGTCTATGAAACAGTGAGTTGGGGCTGTTGTGTCTAGCAGTCATCAGACAGCTGGTGCAAGAGGAGTAAAGCTTTCATGTGTGTTCTTTCTACCATTAAAGGGATAAGAACAACTTCCCCTTCATGACAGAACCTACTAGAAAGGTAGCACAAACCTGAAAACAGCTCTAAAGTCTCCTTAGAGATGACAGGTGGCTTCAGAGCCAGTTCACAAATGCTGAACTCACAGGTGAGGGGCAAGTGACAGAGGTAACGATGACGCTGTCTTATATCCTGATAAAGAGAGAGTCATATGTCACCACAAGGACTAGAGGCAGCCATGGTGATGAATGGAAATAGAATGCACAACATTCATCAAATCAAATGGAAAAAAATAGCACCAGTGACACAATAGTTACTTTAAAAACTACAAACATATGACAGATGCCCTGAGTCAGAACCAAATGTTCCAAGATCTCCACCAGCTACATCATAATCAGACTTGGATGCAGTTACTCCAGCTCGCTTACTGATCTTCAGGTTCTTCCTCCCTTCTCACTCACATCACTGGAATAAAATTCTGCAATACCAGACTTGCAACACAATTATTTTTGTACTGGACCTTCTAGGAAAAAAACCAAAAACTATACTGCAGCCTACTTATCAAGAGCAACATAAGGCCCAGCACCTTCCACAGATGCCCCTCACAGACTAGCATCCATTCATACTTATTATTTCTTACTACTGAGGAGAATCAAGTCTCCTCTACCATGATCAACCTGTTAAAACAAGGCCCTTAATTAATAAGAAGATAAATAACTACCTCTGTCATGGAGTAGCCTGTTATCTCCACTACAGCTGCAGTTATCTTCTCTGGACTCTTCTCCAAGCTGCCATATTCACGCACAAGGCACCGAACGTTCACAGGGTGAAGGTACATGCACTGCCCATCCTCCGCTGAAAGGCAACACACCATCACTCCTTCTTTGCCTGCTCATTTTCAGTACCCTCCTCCCCACCTCAGGACATCCTCCACTAATAAAATTAAAGCTCCTTTCTGAGCTCCTGTGGGACTTATTTCACAGGGATTAGCTGCACCTAATGAACTGACAAACACATTCCTCAAGGAGGGTCCCAAAGGGGGCATCTCTGCCCCTATGATTCCAGGATTTCACTGCACTGACCTTGATAGAAATAGTAAAAAGGAGAGTTGCCAAGATGTCCACTGCTAACTGTATCTTTAGATTCTTGGCAGCTTGTTTCAGCTGGATTTGGTTCCTCTACAGTGTTCGTAACAGGTTCTCCTACAGTGTCCACCTCAGGTACTTCCTCCTCATCCAGCACTGCCTCTTCTACTTCCACAGGAGGCGAAAGGGAACTTGCCAGGTCAGAGCAAGGCTCCACAAGCTCCTCATCGAATGCAGAGAGATATTCCACATCACACTACCACAGCAGAGAAGACAGAGTTAGTACCACGCCACCTACTTCAAAGATTATCATCTCTGCAAAAATCTTTGGCACGAGTTCACCACACACTGCAGTGTGGAGTGGCAGAATTAAGTGTTAACAGGATCTGCCAGAGCAGATTCGTCACCCACCTTTTTCTCTTGGGAAGCAGCAGGCTCCACAGCTTTGGAGCTTTCTAGGACCAATTCTTCCACAGCTGCACTGAGTCCAGCAATGCCATTGTTTTTATCCTGGTCAGCAGAGAGTGCTGTTTCTCGCTCCTGCAGATCAACCAAAGGGATCACGTTTCAATTTGCCATTTAAGCAAGGAGACCACCCCCATAGTTATTTTTAGCCTTGCCCTGGCATTTCTTTACTAGAATACCATCCCATAAAAACCATTCTGCTGTGTTATCCTGAACACCACATCAGATACCTGGGGCCCAAAGGCTACAGTCTCCTTCAAGGTGTGTAATGCTACTCCAGCAGCAAACACCAGCAACTTGCTAGACCAGAATAATCACACACAACCATCCATGCAGCAGAACAAGGATGCTCAGTAATCAGCATAATCTAAAAATAAAGCTACTAAAAGCCTCCCAAGAGGTTGTTACCTTCAGCTCCTGGATAGCTGCCTCAATGAAACAGGCTTCTGGGGTGTGTTTTTCTTCCTCATACTGTTTCAGTAATGCTGCTTTCTCCTCCAGGATCACCAGCTGCAAGACCTGCTCCCTGGATGCCAGAAGCAGCTTTGAATACTGACTGTGCTGGTCATCTGCACAGAAAGAGAACCAAATCATTAATGTCTGCATGCAGAGCCACCAGCTGGGACTGCTGCTTCTTCTGAAGTTTTGTTACTGCTTACTTTTGTAAATTTATCTCCAAGGCCAGACAACACTCAGCAAGAGCTTGATACAGACTCCACAAATTACCACTGTATCACAAGCTGGTGTCACATAGCTGCTCTGACACATATCTCCCCCACACAGCAGTTCATCTGCCACTTCACCACCGAGTTGCTACACATCAGTAAAAATCAAGCCTGAAGTTCTACACTGTAGGAGCATCACCTTTGAGAAGCCTTGTGGGCGTCAAGGCTTCCTGAAACAATGCAGTCTGAAGCTTCTTCCTCTTTTCTCAAAAATACTGCTGCTGGAAATTTCTGCAAAGCCACCCTGGTTCGACTCAAACTAGTTCATAAGCCCATATGTATTAAAAATCCACACAAAACATTATTATGAGGTTTTTACAAGAAGTACAGCAGAAATAGTAAGCTAAAGAATTGCAGTTTAGCAAAAGGTGGCCATTCCTGTAACTTTGCAGCAGAAACAGCATCCTATATTAACACAGTCCCTGCATTCACTGCTCCCCAAGGGTCCAACCTTGCCTACAGACACCAAGTTAATGGTGAATCTCCTGGCTTTAGAGTATTCTCAAATCCTTTATTGTTCCTTTGGTTTTTTTTATGAAAGGACTTAAAAGTCCCCTAGTTTCAAATACTGAGAAACATGTAAGACCACAGCCTGCATGCTGGATATCCATCACATGTTAGAAGACTTGACTTTTTCCAGAGGGTTTAAATGCATGCAGCCTTTCCTAAATGTGACTGCAAAATGAAGTGAGCCAAGACAGCCCACAAAGCAGCAATGCTCAGTAAAATTATTTCTTTAGTCACAAAATTTTTGCGATACTAACAGATAAGATGATGATGAGTTAGTCACACTCTTGACTGGAGAAAACTGAAGATGTCAGGCAACAGATGTTTGGAATAGGTTTGCAATAATTTTGATTATTTCCCCATAGCATTCACTGACTTCAGTTGATAAGTGAAGATGATGAAAACCTTGTTGAAGATTACAGCCTTGAAATAGTTTAGACACAGAGACAGTTATTTTTGTGAAGCTGTATAATGAGTCAGGAGGAAAAAAGTTAAAGACACTGAAGAGCCGATAAAAACAGTAAGAGTCACACCAATGACTGCAGGGTACAAAGGACACATCAAATTATAAGCAGTGATTGCAAAGACAGGAGTCTGCAGTTCAGTCACTTGAAGGGACACAGCACACAAGTTAAAGCCTTTACAGAAAAGCAGTGTGAGTAGAAAGTTTACTGTTAATATGTGATCATTAAGCTGTTCTGCTGCTAAGCCCCATGTTTTGCAGTCTGGTGTATTTTAAGATGAAGTATGGCATTGCCAGGGTCAATTGTCTCTACACAAATCCTGGTCACAGTCAGGAGCAGGATTCCAACCACCAGGATTCAGATACACTCACCTCTGATGTAAACAGGCTGAACCACATTCATCCACTGGGACTTGGGCAGTGCTACCAGAACACCCTTCTCTCTTCTCATGAGCTGCATCGTAATAGTATCACCGATTGCATACTGACGTGTTTCCATAGCAACAACACTGTAATGTATGGAGGTGGTTAGCAGCGTAAAAACAACATTTCAAAGAGATGTGTGATTTAATTAATATTGTCTCACCTCTTGAGATCCTTCTTATGAACAGAGCCATAACAAATAGGACACTTACTCCAGGTCTTCTCACTCAGGGAGAGATAGTGAAGGATACATGCCCAGCAGAAGATGTGCCCACAGCGGGTGATCTTGGCGGCGGTCGGTGGGTACAGACATATGGGGCAAGAGGGCACTTCATGGCTACAGATTCGCTGAAATGGCACATGAGAACAGTACAAGTTTTAGACTCAGAAATCAGTTCCTGGGATCCAGAAAAAGCCACCTGTAAGAGCTACTCTAACATATTATCTTCCAGCTCTTTAGGCTCTGTTTATTTACCAAGAAATTAGTGCACTGTGAACTAACACCTTCAGACTGCACAGGGAATAACCTTCTAAGCAACCCATCTTATTTCTTATGTCTTATTTCTACTCTAGTGACATTAAAAAGTGAGTCTTCTCATGTTTCCCTTCACGTATGCATTATCTCTAAGACTTAGCAGCATCTTCATCGTGCGAATTCAGACAGTGAGAAGATGGCAAGCGAGCTCTGTGGCCCCTCCCACAAGCAGACCTGTGCAGCCCTATGGAACTGTGAGACTGAACTTACCCACTTCCATGAACATGCTAGGTCTAGTCAGACACTTGAGTAGCATCTCTGTGTGGCAGAGACATAACTGCCAAGCAAGCACCTAGATGTTTTCAGCTCTCTTGTAGTGACAGGTAACAGTAAGCCTACCTCCTCTCCACCTACACCATGCACCAGACTGTCTTGGCAGATATAAATTTCTGCTTGAGGCAATCCAAAACTTCTGACCACAATTCTCAAGAGATTTTCCATTTTGTTGCTAGGCAAGATAGGCCACCTATGCACAGAATAATTCTTCAAAATTCTACACTCTAGTCCTCTTCCATGGACTCATGCCCAAGTTTTCTGTTAATATCTCGATCACAAGGACTCTGTCTACAGAATGTCAGATACTATTTTTGATGAGCTCCCATCTGCGAAAGCAAGAAGAAGCTGCTAATTTTCCTAATAGATTTTAGCACTTCTCTTTTCCTGTCATGAAAGTATTTCATAATATATTCCATGACAGATCTTTCCCAGTATTGTGGGAGTGACAGAAAAGGCCTCAACTCAAAAACAGCTGAGTTTTATGTAACATCACAGAGGGAAAGAGGTAGTTAAAGACAGGTTGAGGTTCTTAAGAAGGAAAAAAAAAAAAAAATCTAGCCCATCACAACTGACCACTTGCTCCACAAAGTCCCAGTTGACCAAGGTATCTGGATCAGCAAAGTGGACTGTGTAGTCCTGTTCTTCAGAGACAACAAACTGGCAGCTGGGGAAAGGCAAACAGACAGATGATCCACTCAGTTGTTTCTAAACTTTTTGAGAACTATCCTATAGGATTCTCTGAGCTTCTTCTTTGTGCAGCAGAAAACTACCGGGTGCAGTCAGTAACTTCTATCAACAAGAAATCAAGTGTTCAGTTCACAACCAGATTTTCAGGATACAGGTGTGTCCAATGTCAGTTAGACACAACATCACACAGTAAGTACAGAATGAGCCAGGCAGACTGGTTTTCCAGAAATGTGTAAGAAACAAGTCAGCTGCAATGGGGATCTATTAAAAAACAGAATTCACAAGGGGAGAAACACTGTCACAAAAACTACGATTACTGGGGTTCCTGCAAATAGACTTCACTACAATAAGCCACAAAATATTATGGAGAAATCAGAAGCATCAACGCTGAAAATACTTTTAATCTTTAACATAATCAGAGATAGGAAGTCCTGAATATACTTCACATTCTGGGGAAATTTCCAGTCAAATGGAATTCTGCTGTTAGGTTACAATACTGATCATCATTCGGGTTATACTACATACTTCGGGGCCCACAAAATAATCAGCGTTTTAAGCACTAAGACCCACATAAGTAATTGCCTTTAGCACTTTAAAATTCAAATTAGCTTTCATCTAGCAACTGCTATCCCTTCCATCTCAACAAACCAACTTTTGGAAACAACCATTTTCTGTAAGGAACTATACAGGTATTCCCAAATAGGAGTGTCACGTCCCAAAGCCATACTTGAAAATTTCAGCAGAAGAATTTTGCTTGTATCTAAAGGACTCACTCCATCAGATATCTTGCAAATAGGTGAAGATAACATCTCTTTAAAATATAGTCACTACCACTAAGAACACTACAGAAAGGTAATGTCACTGTGGAAAAGACAATACAATTAGTCAAGCCCAAATACAATTCCCTGTCTTGTCACCCCTTACAGCTCCATGTCTCTGCAGAAGTCTGAGAGCCCCGTGGATCTCCCACTCACTTGGCCTGCAGGAAAAGCTCCTTGTTGAACGGTTTATGTCCCCACTTGTTCCTTTTCCCCCAGTTGCCATGTCCATTCCCATCAAAATGTCCTGCTTGGCCACGGGGTTCAAAGGTGAAGTTCAGTAAGTGGTTCAGATTAATCTTCTTGGGACCAGAGAACTGGGCAGGGCTGAACTCTGCCCGTTGAGCCTCTGCTACCTAAGAGAGAAGAGCATTTGTTAGAAATTGCTGGAGTTTACAGCAAAGGCATCAGTACAGGCAGACATTCAGGCCCCATCAGTGATAGCACACGGAACATGCAACATCTACTCACTCACCTTCTCCCATCCCTGCTCTGCAAATCAAGTAGTGCAGCATTAGAAATGCACGAGAACCTGAAAGTCAGAACTCAATGGTCTTACCCCACACTAAGCAAAAGGAGGAGAGAGTTAAAAGAACCACAAGTAAAAGCTGGCAAAACACAGTCAAGAAGAAGTTGTTCAAATCCTGACAATACTCTCTTAGAAATACAAGCTTGATTACTGTCTGCATAGACTACTTTTTTTTTTGTTAGTTTTCATGAGGAAATGAATCAGAATTCAACAGAGGCAGCAGGTGAATTTTCAGCCAGTGATCTAGGTGAAAAGTGCTGCTCATTCATCAACACTGAAAAATCAGAGTATCAGTTAAAGCCCACAAACACTCTCCAGTACTTAGATCCACATCTGCAAAAGTGCCTCAGTCTGGTTTTACCTTGATATCAGCAAGGCCAACACAATTACATTCACAATACCACTATCACCTGTAAATTTGTGCCCCTGACGTGGTTGGACACAATCTTCTGAGGGTAAACTTTGGCCTGTTTAGAAGACTGGTTGGCAGAGTCTCATGGGAGGGAATGCTGAAGGGCAAAGGAGTCCAAAACACTGGACATTCTTCAAGAAATCTTAAAGGCACAGGAACATGCTGTCCCCTTGTGCTAAAAAATGAGGGAAGATCAACCTGCTCAGAGAGTTTTAAACGGAACTCAAGAAAAAATGGAATTTATAACCTGAGGAAGAAGGGATGGGAACTCAGCAACACTACAGGGATGTCAGGAGGTTATGCAGGGAAAGAAGTGAAGGGCCAAAGCCTGACTAGAACTTAATCTGTAACTGCTGTAAAAGACAAAAAGATGTTTCCATAAAAACATCAGCTACAAAAAGAAAGTTAAAGAAACTCCCTGTGCTTTACTGGATGCAGAAGGAAAAATAGTGGCAGTGGTGAGGAAAAGGCTGAAGTATTTAATGCCTTCTTTCCCTCAGCCTTTAATAGTAAGATCAGTTGTCTTCAGGGTACCCAGTCCCCTGAGCTGGAAGACTGGGACAAGGAGCAGAATGAAGCCCCATACTCCAGAGAAACAGTCAGGGATGTGCTCTGCCACTCAGCCCCAAAACCATGGGGCTGGATGGGAACCACCCACAGGGATTGAGGGAACTGGCAGCAGTGATCATCACCAGCAATCCTGGCAAACTGGGAGGTCTCAGCTGACTGGAAGTCAACAAACATAACACACACCTACAGGAAGGGCTGGGAGGAGGAGCTGAGGAATTACAGGCCTGTCAATCTGACCTCTGTGATGGGCAAGGTTATGGAAGAGATCATTCTTCAAGCCATCACACAGAGTGTACAGGACAAGCAGGGAATCAGGCCCAGCCAAAGTGGATTTATGAAAGGCAGGTTCTGCCTGACTAACCTGATCTCCTCCTGTGACAAGGTGACACAATGCATGAGGGAAAAGCTGTGGATATGGTCTACCTGGACCTTAGAAAAGCCTTTGGCACAGTTCCTCACAGGATTCTCCTGAGGAAACTGGTTGCCCATGTGCACCACACAGAGTAAAAAAGTATTCTGGATGGCTGGAGGGAGCAGAGGGACATGGGGTGATACCCAGCTGGGTCCCCACCAGGGGGGTTCCCCACAGCTCAGTATTTGGGCCAGTCCTGTTTAATGCCTTTGTTAACAATCTGGACAAGGGGATGGAGGACACCCTATGCAAGTTCACAGATGACACCAAGTTAGGCGAGAATGTAGATCTGCTGGAGGACAGGAAGGCTCTGCAGAGGGATCTGAACAGGCTGGACTGATGGGCCAAGGCCAATGGTGTGAGGTTCAACAATACCAAGTGCCAGGTCCTACACTTGGGTCACAACAGCCACTTGGAATACTCCAGGCCTGGGAAAGAGCAGCTGGAAAGTTGCCCATCAAGAAAAGTTGCCATCAAGACCTGGGGGCGTTAGTAAACAGCAGCTGAACATGAACCAGGTGTGCTCAGGTGGGCAAGGCAGCCATTGGCACCTGGGCTGTACTAAAATAGTGTAGCCAGCAGGAACAGGGCAGTGAAATTGTGTCACTATGTATCTTCATAAAGGACCCATCACGAGATAGGTACATGGCCTGTCTTGGCACCCATTCCTCAGATGGCATTGTTCCTTAGAGCAGAGCAAAGAGCACTCCTCTTCTGTAGCTGCCAAGTGGCTCTGCTCACACTGCCTCTGGCATCTCAACCATGTCAGCACCTCTTATTATTCTCTCCCTTCCCAACCCAGGAACTGAACACAGCAGACCTATCTAGGCAGGTCAGGGTGATCCTCTCATCCCAAGAAAGGAGGCCTTGGAGTCATGGCATTACACTTCTCACCTCATCTCGTCTTCCACCATTAGAAGAGCTAAAAGATTTGCCACTTCCGCCACTGCCTCCCCTTTGAGGGGGCATCTTGTTAAAAGCTTTGCTTTTCTGTGAATTGGAGCGACGGGACTGACTGGAAAAGTTCTCATTTTTGGAATATGAAGTCTCTCTTTTACGATTATAACGCTGCTTGGATCCATTCGCATTCTTTCCATCTGAAAGGAAAATAAAAGAAGAATCAGATCAGCAGCCTCAGAGTTAGCCCCATGTACTGCACCTCAGCTAAATTCATCTCAGAGATGAGCTCACCTCAGCCACAGTCTTAAGGGCAGTGTTAATCAGGATATTAAATCCCCCCAGCAACCCAAACCACTTCATTCCTATCACTGCCCAAAGAGTTTAAAAGAAGGCATTTGCTGTGCTCTACCTTTTATAAAAAGAGTTAAATTTCTTTTTTCCAGATTTGGAATTGCCACCACCAGATATTAGTGTGTTGCTTGGTATTAAGTTATAAATACTAACATTACATACCACATCTTCATGCCCCATCACAAGAACTGACAACAATTAGGTTCTTTTTCACTTAATTTGCCTAAAACACACAATTTATCATATTTATCACACATAAAATACACTTTATAAATACACTGCTGTGTCTTTCTTGAAGGCTTCCATTGCCTGTTTTCACTCACTTTATGCTTAAAAGATCTCAGCAGATCTAATTCTGCTTAAAAAATACTTTCGTGCCATCAGGCCAACAAATGTTAATTGATCCTCAAGCACAAACCAAACCCTTTTCTGGCCTTGCAGGGCACATACCCAAGATCTAAGTACTAAGTCCACCAACCTATGCAACAAGGACTGTTTGCCAAAAACCTAACTTAACACACCACTGACCCTAACACAGGACACCGTGGTGAAGCACAAAGCAAAGTACTACAGGAAAAAAGAGCAGAAAAATCAGTCCAGCTCTTGAGAGGCGTTTTCTGTGCCTCAACAGCTGCTAAATGAAACTGCTAGAACAGAGTTAATACTATGAAGGTATTTCTAGTAGTCTTAACACAAGATCAGAGCTGCCCAAGGACACAACAGGCTGTGGACTGGGTGCTTAACCTGGCACTTTCACCACCCACCCCAAGTTTTATTTGTAGCAGAGGTATGGTGATAAGCTCAGAAACAAAACTCCTCGGGCCCCACAAGTCATCTATCCATATCAGCCAGCCCAAAGTCACTCTGGATACTCAGTAAACATTACACAAACAGCAAGACCTCACACAGTATCTAGTTGCATTTTATAAAAGCCTATTAGTTTCCCTTTTCCCACTTTGTAGTCTTCCTCCCCATCCCTTAACATAAATCTTACGTGCCAGGCAAACACATCACTGTGATTCAGGATCACGTTTCCCATATGGGCAGATTCATTGCCAGTGCTTCGTTTTTCCCTTTCCCAGCACCACTCCCCATATACCTAAGCATTTAAAACAGTCAGAATGGCATCATCCACATAAAGTATCCTTTGTTGTTATTCTTTTAAATTTTTTCTTCCACCTGTATCCCCCATAAAAGGTGAGCTGAGAACATGCTGTGTGTTGTTGTATATTACTGAGGATCCAATGTCTTAAGAATAAATTAAGAAATAAAAGTGGCTGGACCAGGTTCTGTGCTGGTCTGCTTGTGCTGTTTCTTGCACTTGTCAGACTTCTTTGGCTGCAGCTAAAACAGGACACTATCATTACTTTCACACGATATGACAGGCCCATATTGCAGACAAACTTCATCATCAGAACTGGTAATTTACTCTGCTATTCAAAAGGCTGATCCTTTAATTCAGAATTAAACCAACTCTGTCAGAACCACAGCTGTGTAACTCAAACACATGCCTGCATAGCTGGCAGTGCTTTAATGCATATCAGGCTAAAAAGGACATGGCTTGAGCGTTATCAGGACAAAACACACCAGAAGCTGCCAAGTACTAAGGGTGTGACCAGGTCTGGCTGAATGATTAGACAGACCTTTTTTGAAAATGTTTGTAGGGAATAAGGAATAACCAACACCTCAGAGTCTCTGGTAAAAAATTAAGTCATTTTGAAGAGGTTTGGACTATTCCTGAAGTTACTCAGGAGCAGAACTTGTCAGTTTAGAGCTCAATCACCCTCTTAAATCTGAAAATGCACTACAGGGGCACATGCCTGTTGTGTCTGTACTACTTTGTAGTTTCTCTGCCATCTTCAAATGGGGAAAAAAACAACCCAAAAAAGTCAGTCTAAAGCGGGTGTTTACAAGGCCCCAGAACAAGGAACAGCTCATTCCTGGAGCTGCCAGAAGAATTTCCTACCACTTAAAGTTTTAATCGAGTTACTCACCATCAACTTTGTCAGTCAGATGGTTTACACACATTCCTGTCATACTAGAGGTCCTTTTAAGGCACCTCCTAGAGCCTTCACATTTTATAGGAAAGAATTATCCACTTGTGCCTTTTTTAAAAAGACCCTACAGCACTCTAACAATGCTTCAAACCTGATTGTACAGATTGGTAATTTCACCCCCTCCCTCAGGAGAATAACTGACCTCAGTAGAAGCCTGGTCCATCATAGTAATGAAACTGTCAGCAGACAACCAGGAGCTTGGAGAATGCATCTGTAAATTGGAACAGCTTTCCCCCACCCTGAATCTAAGCAATGATGTTCCTTCCAACCTTTCCAGCATGCCACACGTCAGGGAGCTCTCTGCTTTCTATCATCCATCCCAGCACTCCCACAAAGTGCATGGCAGGACAGGCTGCATTCAGGCACAGAGAAAAGTGGGAGATTTTCACTGCCATCCTCTCTTGTGATATCCCAGTTTTAAGCAGGGTAAGTTTGGATTTGGTAGTTTCTTTTTTGCTTCTTTTCTTGGCAAATCAGGAGTCAGCAACAGCCAGAATGCTGGAGAGATACTTGCTCTTCACTCAGCTCCTCAGTTAGTCCTTCTGTTTTCATGGCATCTAACCTATACATATATATACAGATTATGTGGATTTTTCTACCCATTCACGCTCCAAGAGACTTATAAAAAATACTGTCTTTGTAATTTAAAAACACTGGCAATAAAACTGTTCTGGCATTTTGGAGCAAGCCCTGAGATTTGTGGTTTCTCCTGCTGCTAGAGGACCTGTATCTCCAAAGACCCAGAGAGAAGAGATGAAGTTCACAGCGTTAGAAGCAGCTGTAGGTGACCACTTGGGCACTGGAGCTGCAATTGTTTGCTATTGGGGTGACAACTGCTGTTTCCTTCCACCTTTTTCCCCCCCCCCTCTTTTCTGCTGAGCTGTGCTGAAGCCAGCAGCATTGCATAAGGGATCTGGATCACACTAAAGCCACAGGGTGGTTTCATGAAAACACACCGAGGCCACTGCAGCTGCCAAGGCAAACATCCCAGTGAGCAGGAGGTGACTGAGCTCCCACAGCCCAGCCAAGCAGGCTCACACTGGGTGTGATAAGGCCCAAGAGCATTTGTGACAACTAACGCTGTCCATCAGCTCTTGAGGACTGCAGAGAACCCCAGCAAGCCTATTTTGCCTTAGCTACTTTATTCCATCTAATTGATGAGATTCCTATTGGCTACAGTACTCTACTTAGCCAGTATCTGTATTGAAAGAGAAAGAGAAGCTACCCAAGGATTCAGGAATATCCATCTCTTCATTTGCTCAGCTGGACAGTTATGACAGGTGACTCTGGAAAGCATCAAATGGCAAGTGCTTGACTGGATTTAACCCAGTGACCACATGAGGAAGGTCTGTGGTCCACAAGATTACCTTCCACTTCAGAGGGACACAAGATTTCCAGAATACATCCTATACCTGTCCTTAAAGGGGTGTACCACATCAGCTACTAGGACAGTGATAAGGAACTCAAGAAAAAGATTCCATATGGTGACATGCCAGTGTCCTACAAGCAACAGCCATGAAAACACAGCCACAGTTTTACCCAGCTGCATCCTGTGCAGCTGTTTGCCCTAATTTCACCAAGGGAATCTTTTCATTTTAGTTTTCAGTACCCTCCAGTTAAGAAATTCCTAAATAAACATCTACTCCCATGAAAGGAGATTCTAATTTGTCCAGGTGTCTTTGACACCCAGTAAAGGAAGCAACACCTCCTTCTGCCCTCCACTTAGCTCAGAAACAAGTATAACTGAAGTAGAATTATGCCATGACAAAATTTTCCTCTGTTTCATTAAAAAAAAAAAAAAAAAAGAAGGTCTTAAAAAGTTTTGGTGTTTATTTAATAAAAAGTTTTGGTCATCAGGATTCCTCTCCCCACTTCTCCTATGCTACCAGTGCCATTATTTCAAGCCTGTGAAAGGTGAGTGACATTCCACAAAAATCACTTAACATTTTTATTCTGGGCTGAAACAATAAGCCTTCTACGTCCTTCCTCAGTCCAGATACTGTGTCTTCTATACAAAGGGATATCAGCCAGAGCACAAATCATCTTAATCCCTTCCTGAAAGATGTTTGTATTCTGTGAACAATCCTCCACAGAGCATCACATACCACTACAAAAGAAGCTGGAGTGAGAAGGTGTCTCTTGGCAAGACAGGGACAGAAAAAGTTCTTCTTAAAAAGATTTCCAAGTGTTTGAATTTTAAGTTAAAATTTCACTGTAATTGCACAGTTACACCACAGCCTGGGGAGCTGTGGGTGAGTCACCTCCCATGTCCCACTTCTGTCAATCCTGGAAGGTCAATTAATACAGGTGAAGAGCAGGTAATACTTGGCTACCCAGGACATGACTATGCTTAGAAGGTCCAAAAAGGAGTCAACAAACACCTCCAAGATACTCATTTTGTTAACCCTGTGGAGTGCACTGCTGTTTTCTCAGAGGCCTCAAGTAATACAGCTGAAACAAACCACTGAGGAGGAAGGAAATTAGTACAGCAATGGTGGTGTAGCAACCTGTTGACACTCTCTCGTATACTTCCAGGACTAAAATCACCAATTTTAATCACTACTGCCCCATTTCTAGGTTTTAGAGAGAGAGGAAAAAGAAAAAAATAAAAAGGTTGCCCGGAACACTCTCTTCCTAAACAAGTTTAGAGAGCAAAGTGGGCTTAGGTCTTACCTTGAAATGACGACAGGAACCACACTGGCTCCTGACAAACTGCTCTGTCAGCAGAACCAGCTGTTTGCAATTCCAGGTGTGACACTTTGGGTTGAATGCCAGATGAGCAAACAACAGCCACCTAACTCTGAGCTGCCCCAAAGCAGGTCACTGACACACCGGGGCAAGGGGAATGCTGTGTACGGACACCAGACCCCGTCAGTGTGGAACAACACGGGTACAAAATAAAGTTAAGGGCTCTATTTACAGGCACAGTGGATGTATGTTCTTACTATAGCACCACGGCTTTAGCTCTCAAGCTGATTACTCCAATACTAATGAAGATAAAGCATTAATCCTTAAAGGAAGAGGAGAGTAGGAATCCCAGCTCACCAAACAGCGTGCAGAGCCGGAAGAGGAAGGAAAAAGAAACCCAAAACAGGCAGTGACCTGAAATGCCGCCTATTAAACCCCGCTGAGACACAAACAACCCGTCAAGGCGAAGCTCAGCTTCCCCACGAACGCAAGGGCGGCACAAGGCCGTCTGTCCCCGCAGCCCCACGCTCACCCCCTCCCAGCTCTCACCGCCTTTGGGCTTAGACTCCCCCGCGGCGGGCCCGGCCGAGGCGGACCGCGGTTGCTGCCCTTTGCTGCCGGCCGAGGATCCGGGCGCACCGGAGCCGCAGGGGCTGTTCTTGTCCATGGCGGGGGCTGCGGGGGTCGCGCCGGGCGGGCTCTGCAGCATCAACGGGCGCCCCGAGCGAGCGGCGGCCCTGGGCGGGGGGACACGACGGGCGCTGGCGGAGCCGGCGGGGGCCCAGGCTCATGGCCCGCGGGGGCGACCGGCGGGGGCGGCGCAGCGCGGACTCGGCCTCCTTCATGGCGACATCTTCTCGCTGCTCTGCTCGAACCGGGGAAGGCCGCGGAAGGCCAGGCCGGGCCTGCGGGGCTCCGGGCGCGGTGGAGGAAAGAGCTGCTCACGGAGCCCCGCAGGGCCCGGCGCTGCTGCCGCCCGAGGGGTCGGCACCACCCCGGCACCCACCGGCTGCTCGGCGCCGCACCGGCCCCGGCTCGGCCGCCGCTGCCCCGTAATGGCGACGAGTCGCCCGCAGCAGTAGCCGGACCCGGATGCAGCCGGTCCGGGCGGGCCCCTGGGCATGACGGGATTTGTAGTCCTGGGCTGCGCGGGGCATGCCGGGAGCTGCGGATCGGGCCCCTCACCGAACCCGGAGCCCCGCCCGGAACCGAAGGGACCGCCCCCCCCAGCAGCGCCCGGCGAGGTAGAAAATATTTGATATAAAATCACTGCCACCGATTTATAGCAAATAACCGTAAAAGTTAAAAAAAAAAAAAAAAGTACCTCAAGAGGCCTACTTGAAGTGATATTTTTAAACTTTTCCCTCAAAGCAAAAGGGGAAAAAAACCCACAAGGCAACTCGGATCCTAAAAGCATTTCTTTTAACCTTTAAAATGCATTCTTGAATGCATCTCTCATGCCTTTTCCATTATTTTAGGGATGAGAGTTTCAAGTTCTGCAGGAGAGCAATTCTCACCTTCTTAAAAAAGTATGGGAAAAGTATGTAAGGGCATCCTTACCCTCATAATTCATACCATGATCTGAATCTGCAGCCCCTCAAGTAAAACTTCACTACTAGTTTTGTACACACAGGCCACATGCTCTGTAACACCACTATGATCAACAAATCCAGGAATTTGTGTTTTACACATTTCAAACAAATCCTCTACAAATATTATTTTAAGAAAAGCCTCATAAAGGCCTTATTTCAACATCTGATTGTTCCCTATTTAGGTATATTATTCTTAGAATTACTCACCAAGCTGCGAGTGTAGTTACCACATTGTTTATATCTTCTAGATTTCAGGGGGAAAAAACTCTCAATTTTCTAACAAAGTTGCTCCTCCACATTTGAAAAAAAAACAAGAAATAGCACATGCAGTAGCAGAGAGTACAGAGACACGAAACTTTTAAAAGCAAAACACATTTTTATTAGCAAATTAGCTGGCTGTGGAAATAAAATAAATACAAGGAAGTATTTATTTAGTCCAAAAAAATAACCATATAGCCCAAATAAAGTTCAATAGGAAGATATTAATAACAAACTAACTTGCCCTCGTTACATGAGCTGCAGGGCCACACTAACACTGCATTCCTCCATCGCTTCAGACAGGTCCGTATCCTTTATCACAGCCGTCAGATCACACATGGTCATCTATAATAAAAATGCATTCAAAGGTGCAGGAGCAGCTCCCTGCCAGAACCACCTGCTGCCAAGCAGACCCAGAGATATCGTCATTCCCAGCGCGTTCTCGGGCGCCGCTCGGTGCCTCCGCCGTGGCCGGGCAGCGTTGACCGGGCGTGCCGGGCACGGGAACGGCGGGGGCTGTGGAAGGACTCTCAGGTCCCCTCACGCCTCGCCCGCGCTCCGCCACCCCCGTCCGGCTCCGCCGCCATTGCTCCGGAGTGCCCCGGCCACGCCCCCTGCGCGCCGGCCGCCAGCCATTGGTCACCAGCCACTGGTCATCAGCCATTGGTCCCCGCCAGGAACTCCTGGGGAGTTCATTGGCCAGAAACAAGGGATGGGCGGGGCGTTTCCCCACGCCGGCGTGCTGCGCGCCCCCCTCCCGTTTCCATGGCGACGGGAACGCCGCCGGTTCCGCGGCTCCGGTGACCGGGGACACCAAGGAGAGCAGCTGCGGCCTAGCTCTGCCTAAAACAATTATAATGCTGTGGACGCTGTAATGAACAGAAAGGGGATTCGGCTAAAAGCCTCTCTGCTCCTGAAAGCACCGTTAGCTGTACAAGAGCCAGAGCCTGGGTCGTTCTACTGGCGTGGCTGGCCATTACCTCTGGTTGGCGCAAGGAGCTTTGAGACCATGCTGGGAAGAGTTTCAGAGTTTTTTCTCAGTACCATAGCTGCTATCTGTCTGTGGTTACTGGAAAAACACAGAGGACAGTTGGCTTATCTTCAAGGCTCCATATTTTCCTTCAACACGTCACTATATAGTAGGATGTAGGACAGACAGACAGCCTTCAACCCAGGACAAGGGCCACTGTAGCTCCTACTTGTCTCTGACAGAGCACAGGCCTGTCTTACACAGCAGTCCTTGGTGACTTACGTCTTTAGCTCAGCATTCAGATGTTGTGGATTTCGAAAGAGATTTCTTTGAGATGATACTAGGCCCCAGAAAAAGTCCGAAGTACCACATGGCCACAGTATTCCACTTTTCCGAAGTGTTGTTCGCCCTTGAGGTCTGGTGTGGATAGTGTTCCATGAAAGGCTATTACAATCAAACATTTATACTCTTTATAATGATTTCTCTTTCAACTTCCCATTTCTCCACATTTCAAATGGATCGTGCAGAAGCTGCTGCTGCATTTCTGTGGGCATGTCTGAATCCTCTAGCACAGGTACCTGCTCATACATGTATCAAGCAGTGCAGAGGGTTTAGTTGCACAGGCAATCCCCTGCCAGACCCACCTCCAAGCAGCCCCATAGGTATTGTCATTCCCAGCGTGCCCTCACTGCCACTACTGTCACCGGGGAGCACTGGCTGGGTGTGTCAGGCAGGGGCACAGCTGGAGCAGCAGCAGCTCCAACACGTTAAGCACCGGCTCCCCAGGCAGGAGTGACACAAGCAATGCTGTCCCCACCGGGCTCTCACCGCCCCGGGGGCTCCCACTCCTCCCCAGCCCAGGCAGAGTGCAGCTGTTGTCCTTTGCTGCCGGGCCCGCAGGGGTGGCTCCACTCCACGCCCGGTAATGGCAATGAGTCACCGGCAGCCAAGGCTGGATCTGGATGAAGCCCAGGCACGATGGGACTCGCAGTTGTCTGCTGCAATGGGAACGCCGTGGGTCCCACACACAGCCCCGCACATCCCCTGAGGCAGCACTCCCCAGACACCACAACATCACAAATCAGCCAGAAAAAACAACCTGGCTGGGGTAGAATTTGGCTTTTATTCTCCAGCACACTTCTCCAGAGACAGCAGAAAAAAAGAAACAGCTCAGGTTTTGGGACAGCACATCCAGCAAAACAAAAAGGGGAAAATTATTTTATAAAAGTAAAATCAGAAGAGTAGGAGAAGTTTGGAATATAAAGAGCTAAACACTGTCAGTACTTGCATAGCACTAGCAGTAATTGGGAAATACAGTAGATGGCTATAAAACTCACAAAAGCAAAACTGCTCCAAAAGCTCTAGTAGCAAAGGAGGAGCCTTCTGGAAAAAAAAATAAATACAAGGAAGACTTTTTTGGTACTTTTCCTTTTTATATCCACGATGTAATGTCATCTGTTACAACATAATCCCTGCCATCGCCCTTGAAGATCAAGGCCTGTGTCCTCAGGAAGGCTGCAGTAACTAGTCAGAGAGTCCTGTAACTGGATGCAAGTTTCAGTAACAGTCCATGGTTCTAACCAGACTTGAAAAGAAGAATAGCAACTTGGCCGAGGTAGAAGTAGATGAAGTGCTTGGTCTCATGAGTCACGTAGCTGCCAAAATTCCTTCCCACAATGCAGTGCCAAGTGGGATTGTATTTCTTGTCAAACTCCTGCAAAACAGATCACTACAAATTAAGAACTCTTCTAATAGGCATTCATTTTCTGAGTAAGGCAATCAGAGGAAGAACAGATGCTCTTAAGTACTAGGATTATTTTATTTACATCTTATTGTTCACCTGCTGCTTAGTCAGACACAAAAACCCCACAGCGCTTCCTAACTGAGCAGTAAGTTTAAAACATTACTTTCCTTCAACAAAAGTAGTCTTCTATTCCTGCATAATTCATACCATGATTAAATCTACAATTCTCAAGTAAAAGATGCACCATTAGGTTTGTACTCACAAAGCCATAATTTAGACTTCATTCTTTAGTAGCAGCACAGCTGCTAAACAGAAAATTCTCTGCCACGTGCTCTGTAACAACAATATGATCAATAAATCTAAGCAGTTGTGCTTTACATATTTTCAAACAAATGCTCTATAAATTCAGATATCCTTTGTTGCAACACTGGGAAAAGTATGAAACTCTCGTTTCAACTTTCATAGGTACTTTCTGTGTCTGGAGAAAATAAAAAAAAAAAAAAAAAAAAAGCCTGTATTCTTGGTCATAGAAAACAAGTATTTCTCCAGCAGAAGCAACTATTCTGCATGGATGAATTACTTCTGATGTTAGAGAAGCTTCTCCACCCCAGGTATCCTGCATTTTAAAGCTACCTCCACCCCACGTGTCCTGGAGCAGAGCCTCAGGCTTTAAGTGGTACAGTGGCAAAACAGCTCCAGCTGGGTGCCTTCAGAAGGACCCGAACAAAGAAATTGCCAGGCAATTACACCCTCCCAATCTCAGCTCAGTTTCCCACCCTTCACAGTCCAGACCAAAAATAACATTAAGGTCTGTGGACTTCTTGCTCTTTTTTGGGTCTTTTCATTGTCTCTGGATGGTCTTTTTTATCTGTCATGTTTCTGCTGACAGTTCTTACTTCCTTATTTTCCAAGCTTGAACTAGCTCTTGAGATCCTTTTTCACAGTGTTAGATAAAAGTTAACATATCTATGTGAAAATTCACAGCTTGTGGCCTAAACCTTTATCAAATTTAGCTCCTAATGCAAGCAGTTAACGCCAGACAATTTCAGTCCAATCAGCCTTAACATTTCAACAGCTCTTCCACTCGGATCACTAACTTCTACTGACGCACTTTAATTTCTCCGTTCTCCTGAGCTGACAAAGCAGGAAATATAATCTGAACTAGATCTTCCTCATGTATTGTTAATCCTACATAAAGGACAACACAGATGTTACAAACAACAGATAATCAGTGCCACTAGGATTTTCTTTTGTGCTTATATCACTACATAAGGAGAGGTGTGATTACAGAGAATTGCAGAAAACTACTTTTCCCCTGCTATTTTTGATCCCACTGGCAAGAATTGTGAAAAGATTCTTAAGATTAAGTTAAATACAATTGAAACCAAGAAGAACAAGCTTCCTGTCAGAGGAAAACCTCAAGAGCTCAATAGAGTCCCTGTGTTTTATACCAGCTCATCAGTCCAGGGACTGTCAGGTGCCACTCTATCCTCACGTGGACAGCGGGACAGTAGCAAAAAAAACCCAAAAGCACAAAGTACTGTAAGAAAAAAGCAGCGCCTAGAAAGGTCCACGTCAAGAGTGGGTAAAGGAACACATGGACATCAACCTAAAGAGAAAGTCCAACTTGATTATCTAGTGTCTCTAGAACTTGTTTTTCAAGCACTACTTGTCTAGCAGCATTCTCTTCAATTGATATTTCATGTGCATAAAGATATGAGCACATTACAAGCCAACATCTACCTTCTTTATGTGAGCAGCGATGTCCTTCTCAATGTTGTATTTCTCCAAGGCTTGAGTTGCACACTCCACCGCGTCTTGCTGCATCTCTTCTGACATGTCCGCATTTTTGATCACTGCCTTTCGATCACTCATGATTGCCTGCCGGGAGAAAAAAAAGAAGGAAATTCAAAGTTGCAGAAGCATCTGCTGCTAAGCAGCCCCACAGGTATCGCCATTCCCAGCGCGCTCTCGGGCGCCGCGCGGTGTCCCCGCCGTGGCCGGGGAGCCCCGGCCGGGCACGGGCACGGCCCCGGGCACAGCCCGAGCAGCGGCGGCTCCAACGCCGGCTCACGTTCAGCGCCCGCTCTCCGGCCGGGAGCCACACGAGCACCGCCGCCCTCCCGGCCCTGCCCAGCCCCGCTCCAGCCCGGCGGCTCCGCCAGAGAGCGCGGCCGCTCCATCGCCCGGCCCGACGGCTCTTCCCTCCCCCGAGGAAGGAGAAGAAAGCCCGGCACGCACGGCCAAGGGCTCGGAGCCCCGTTTGGTTACAGGGAGATGCCAGGAATGCGGGAATACGGGAGGCGGCGGCCGAGGAAGAGCCCAGTCACCGGAGCTGCCCAGTCCCAAACTTCCCAAGCCGGACCCAGCCTCTCTCAGCAGCTGTCCCTACCCAAAACTCCAAGCTAGCAACGCTTTGCCCTCACCGTCGAGCGGACGCCGCAATATCGGCGCGGTGACGAACGCAGAGGAGGTGAGGATGCGGGACGGCGCGGAGCAACGCACGCACTCGGCTCCGCCGCCGCGGCTGTTTAACCGACCCGCGCGCTCCGGCGGCGCCTCCGAGCGCCCCCAGCCCCGCCCCCTCAGGCCCGACCGCCAGCTATTGGTCAACGCCACCATCACCCTGAGATCTTATTGGCCACGGTCCGGCGCTCTTGCAGGGTTTTGCCGCAGCAATTTCTTTCAGCCCGGCATGCCTTGCGGCCGTTCCCATGGAGACCGGCGGCCGCGGTGTTGCGCGGCGGGGCACGGCCTTGGGGCGGCCCCAGGGCCCCGCCGACCCAGCGCAGGCCAGGCCAGGCCGGTGGCTCTCAGGCCGTGCGCAGCCCTTCCTCGTCGCTTTGTTTTTTTCTTCACGGCTGAGCTGCTTGAACGCAGGAGAGAAGAAGGGGAAGGAATAACCCGAGCGCCGGTACAGGTTGGGGGCTGACCGGCTGGAAAGCGACTCTGCAGAGATGGAGCTCGGGGTCCTCATGGAAAACAAGCAGTCCCTGAGCCAGCAGTGTGCCTTGGGGGCCAAGAAAGGCAATGGAATCCTGGGGAGCATTAGGAAGAGCTTTGCCAGCAGGTCAGAGAGGTGATCCTGGCCCTCTGCTCAGCCCTCGTTAGGAGTATCTGGAATGCTGTGTCCAGTTGTGGGCTCCTCAGGACAAGAGAGACATAGTGGAGCTCCTGGAGCAGGTCCGATGGAGGGCAGCAGGGACGACTGAGAGACTGGAGTGTCTCTCCTGTTAGGGAAGGCTGAGGAAGCTGGGCCTGTTCAGCTTCGAGCAAGATAGCTGACAGGGGACCTCATTAATATGTATAAATATCTTAAAGGTAGGTGTCACAGGATATCAGGATCTTCTCAGTGGTGCTGAGAAATAGGACAAGAGGTAGACAACGGGCAGAAAGTGATGCACAGGAAGTTCCATCTGAGCATGAAGAACAACTTCACTGTGCACTGAAACAGGTTGCTCACAGGGGTGGTGGAGTCTACCTCAGTGGAGATATTCCAGAACTACTTGGACACAATCCTGTGCCATGTGCTCCGGGATGACCCTGCTGGAGCGTTGAACCATATGAGCCACAGTGGTCCCTTCCCTGACTCGTTGTGTGAGTCTGTGAATGCGGCTGGTCACTGGTGTCCGTGCAGTGTCCATGACTACAGCGTGAGAGGGACCCTCCCAGGCACTGCTCTGGTAGGCAAAGATCATCTGTCACTATAGCTGAGGCTGAGAAAAATACCCAACAAAACCAAGTATGATGCTTTGAAGGACATTCTGCTGCAAAGAACATGGAGTTTAAAAATATATGAGAAAAATATGAGAAAATCACGGTGTGGTCTGATGATGGTGCTAAAAGTCCCAATATGGCAGGAAGATCCTGGGTGAGGGAGCCCAGCTCATGCTCTGGGAATGCAGTCCCTGGGCTGGTTTTAACAGCATGATGTCATCTCTCCTGAGAATGGGTTAAGTTACTTCTTTGTATCTACAAAGCTGGCAGAACTCCTGGATGATTCAAATAATGTGATAAGCAGGGCAGGTTTTGGGGGGGGTGGGGGAAAGATTAAAAAAACCGGTTTCTAATGTGTCCTTATGCTCCTGACTGGAATCAAAGCACCTTTCACTGCTCCTTGCAATTCATCAAAACCCCCAAACCCTCCCTCCTGTTCCCCACGAGGCTTCACTTTAAGTGAAGGAAACTACAAAATTAGAAATCTAAAGAATACTAAATAAAGTTAAAATAAAGAAAAGTTGAAGAAAACTATTTGCAAAATTACTCAAGTACACATGAGGGTTGTGTTGGGTTTGGGTTTTGGGGGTTTTTTTTCCCCATCATGTTTGTCCTCCCGGCACAGGTTCCGTTGCACCGCGGAGCAGCGGTGGCAGCGGGGGGAGTTCCGCGACCGTGTCCGGCTGAAGCGGGGTCCCATTGGGCTGCGGAGAACGCGAGGCTCCCGGACCCGTCCCGGTGGGAGCAGACTCCGGGCGGAGCGCGGTTCCCGAGCCCGTCCCGGTGGGAGCAGACTCCGGGCGGAGCGCCGCCCCCGCCCCGCGGCTGCCCCCGCCCCGCCGCTGCCGAAGATGGCGGCAGTGCGGCTGTGCCGGTGCCGCTGCCGGGCGCTGCTGTCCCGGCCCGCCGGCGCTCTGCGGGCGCGCCGCGGCTTGGCCGCGGGGCCGGAGATGCACTTCGGCTTCCAGACCGTGACGGAGGAGGAGAGGAGGGAGAGAAGTGAGAGCGGCGGGAGAGGGCGGGCTGGGCCCGGAGCCGAGCTGGGCTCCCGGGCAGCCGGTGGTGGCTCTCCAGAGTGCTGGGGACGTGTCTGGGGCTGGGCCCTTGTTTGAGGCATTACCGGGAGTCTCGGTATCACTTGGGAAGGCTGTGTTTCTCCAGAGACCTTTGTCAGGCAACAGGCTCAGTAACATTCAATATTTTTTGTAATGAGTTTCCATGTGGTATTTTTCAGCTCCACACAGTGACAGACTTCCACAGGGCAATGAAGGACACGTTTTACTTAGACTTAAGCATTTGGAAGTAAATTGTATCTCATTGCCATGTCCTTTCTTTGCAGTTTATCAGGTCTTTGAAAATGTGGCCAAGAAATACGATGTAATGAATGATTCAATGACTCTAGGAATTCATCGGGTGTGGAAAGATATCTTCGTGCATAAAATGAACCCTTGCCCAGGAACAGTCCTCCTTGATGTTGCTGGGGGAACAGGTAAATAATTTTGGTGAGTTCCACATGACAATGCCACAGTTTTTCAGCTGTTTGAGTCTGCTCAAAATTACATTGCCCGCTGGGTTTTTTTTTTCTTTCACCCTTACCTCCCTGTCTTTAAAACTGGTGAAGCATCTACTTCACCTTCCCAGAGAAGGGTCGGTTGAGAACTAATATCTTTGCGTTTTGTAATATCTTGCTTTAAGGGTCTGAAAGTGTTAGTCCTGCCATGATATGTTATGGAAAACTGTGTGAATTTGCAGAATATCATGGACTTTTTGATTTTAATAAGTTCCCTTTTTGTCTGTATAGATGTACAAACTTTTTGTGGCTGTACAGTGTTTCTGAGGGGGTATTTTTATAAATGTATGTGAAAAAGAGTAAGTAAGCCTGCTGGATGTTCAAAGCCTTATGTTTCAACTTCTTGGAGTCAGAAAAGATTCCAAAATGTGTATCTTTCCTTTAAAACAACTGCAGGTGACATCGCCTTTCGATTCATTAATTATGTTCGCTCTGTACGAAAACGCCAGCTCCAGAGGAAGCTCAAGCACCATCAGAATTTGTCATGGCAGGAAATTTTTGAGAGTTACCAGAAAGATGAATTTAACTCACTAGGGGATTCCCAAGTGGTGGTCTGTGACATCAACAGAGAAATGTTAAAAGTTGGGAAGCAGAAAGCACAGCATCTTGGCTACTCTGAAGGTACATAATGCATTGTACAGTGGCACTAACATTCCTGATAGCAAAAAATTGTAAGGGGCAGAGGTTTTTTCGCTGTTTTCCTGTGGACATTCACCAAGAGTGGGAGCTGTGCATGGGGAAAAGGAGCATGGGTTACATAGTCAGTGATTCTGCATTTTGTCTGCTTGTCAATAACATGGAGCTCCACATATCTATCCTCACAGATAGACATGGTCTTGATCCTTTGGGGACTAGGAAGCAGCACAGCTGCAACTGCATCACATACTGATAGTCCTGGTGGAGAGAGTGTAGCTTTTCAGGATCCTCAACCTGTGGAAGCTTTCTAGCAAAATGTGTTAAACATTTTGGTGATTGCTGCATGGCAAGATGTTAGTAATTGTCTGTAGCTACACTTTCGAGCAGAGATTCTCTTTTTACAACTTGGCCACGAAGAAATAGCAGCCAACAGTGCTTTCCACTATGATGCAAGTTCTGGGTAAAATCTTTGTGGGACATACACATTATGTGTATGTGTAGAACAGTGTTTTGACTGATCTGCAAAATTAACTACTCTGTCTTGAAAGATTCATGAGTATAGGCCAAGATGTCTTTCCTGCAGCAAAACTGCAAAATGGAAACATTTGTTTTCAATATCACTTTAAAAATAATCAATTCCTTCTAGAATGGGTAAGTTCTAGCCTTTCTGGAGCAGTCTGAGTTCAGTCCTGTGGCTTGTCTTTCACTGCAGGCTTGTCTTGGGTACTTGGCAATGCTGAAGAGTTGCCCTTTGATGATGATAAGTTTGATGTTTACACAATTGCCTTTGGAATCCGAAATGTAACTCGTATTGATTTGGTAAGTTACTATACTATATCCTGACATGGGGTCCTTACGATTTTTTATTCTACAAAGGAAGCAAAGTAGGAGCTCCTTTGGATAAAGGAAGATCCTAGTCTACTCTTGAAACATTGAAAATAAGTGGTATGTAATATGCAATTTCTTTGAATGGAAAATGCAATTAAATGCCCCACCTTTGTCATAAAAAGATAGATTTATACCAGTTGCACCCAATCCTTCCAGCTTGGCAAGCCCCACAGTCTCTTCCTAAGGCAAAGGGCTGGATGCTGCAGTCATTCCCCACCTTCTTCTGACCTATGGCATGGCTGGATCTACACATGCACAGGGCAGTCAGTCTGCCTATCTCAAATCTTCCTGCAGCACCTGATCCCACCAAGAGTGTGTCCAATTCTTCCTGTCCCCTTCTGTTTCCCTGCCTGAGCCAACAGAACTACCAGAGTGGGGAGGAGGCTGCTGCCCCCACTGCTGTTGTTCAGCCCACTTCTGCTGAGTGTCTTCACACTGGCTGGTGGCAGAGCTCCCTATAAAAAAAAACAAGTATGATTTTAATTAGAATAAGTAGTACTCTTTGTTCTAAACTGTCTCTGTCCTTTGAGAAGCACTGGCTGTGGTGGTGGTGACACCTGTCTGGATTGTATTGCACTAGTTGTCTGTTTTGGAGGAGTCTGTTACAACACTGGCAGAGCCCTGTGGAAGGTGAGGCATTTGGATCCAAACCACCTTGAACCATATGCCTTTGAACTTAATGTGCATGGCTTTTCCTGGTGCTTTGTCTGCAGCCTTCCAAAGCACAGGCTCTTTGCCTTCATGCATACAGCAGTCTGGTAGCAGAGCTCCCTGGAGACCTGATACCAAACACAGCCAAGCTGCCAACACTTCTGCAGAGCTCCTGTGTAGTTTGTATTTTATCCCATAGGAATAGGACAGTTGAAATCAAGCAGATGTACAACCTTCAGAGGTTCTGGAAAGCCAAAGATTTTCTTCTTCTTTCTCTTTCCTTCCTGTTCTTACACATTGCTCATCCGAAATCCTCATCAGTATCATTCCTTCTTTGAACCTTTGGGTGTGCCTCACAGTAAAATCTTTTCTTTTGATTTAAAAAACAATTATCATGCCCGTTTTTGATTTTCAGTTTTTTGTAGCTGAGTCACCTCCTCCCTTTTGTGTTTGGTCTGTAATTACAAGAGCTCTGCCAGCAAACTTTCATCAACTGCAAACAGGGAAAGAAAAGAGAACTGCAAACCCGACATCACAGTTTTGACACAAAGCCTTGTAAAAATCTATTTATGTTACAGCAGGAGTATTTGTGGTTTGGGTTTGTGGCACATTTGGGGTTTTTTTTTTAACTTGTCTTGGGATGCTTCTCTACAGTAAATATTTGAGATTGCCAATCAGGATACTCTTCATTCCCCTCAGTTCATCAGACTTGCATGATAATATCACATGGCATGAGAATAGGCAGGTGCTGTTCTACAGAAGCAAACTTATCACATCTGCTTTGTCTCAGGCACTTCAAGAGGCCTATCGTGTGCTGAAGCCAGGAGGAAGATTTCTTTGCCTTGAATTTAGTCACGTCAGCAACCCTCTTCTTTCCAGGTAGGAGCATGGTGATGCATTATGCCATGGCACAAGGTTCTCTTGTTTGTACTCAGAATAAGAGGTGGAGACGTTGGAGACAAAATCTTGGTGCACTTTTAAAGTCATCTACAGACTGCATAGCATAGTGGCACAGAGACCAGCTTGTGTTGGAGAGGGTTTAAATTTGTTTCTATTAATCTTTATTTACCATCTTTCTGTGCAGGCTCTATGATCTCTACAGTTTCCAGGTTATCCCTGTTCTGGGTGAGGTTATTGCTGGTGACTGGAGGTCTTACCAATATCTTGTGGAGAGCATCCGACAGTTCCCCCCTCAGGTAAGGCAGGGTTTCCCCAAATTCACCAACACACAAAACACAATTCCAGCACAATCTTGTGGCCAGCTGGTTTACAGGCCTCCAGGTTGTTAATAATTATAGCACTTATTTTTCAGGAGGAGCTGAAGGCAATGATAGAAGATGCAGGCTTTTTCAAAGTGGATTATGAGAATTTAAACTTTGGCATTGTTGCCATTCACTCAGGTTTCAAACTGTGAGTCTGCGTAGCAAAACACCAAAAGTGTAATTTTCATGAGGGATATGAAAGCTGTGGAATTTTCACGGTATCAAGAGGAGTTCTAAGAACTGGTGGAGCAGATACTTGCTCAGCAGCCAGACTCAGAAGAATACAAGTTGCCTCTCCCCACCAAGAAACCTGTGGAGTCACCTCAGTGGTGTTTCTTACACTTGCATTTCCCTTCAAGTGTAAAGGATATGACCAAAACTGAGCAATGCTAACTAGTGAAGCAAGTTGGCAGTGGGTGTGGATAATAATAGACTGATTAATCTCCAAATAAGATGCCTTTTTACTAAGCTTTAAAGAGGATATTATACTTGTGAGAAGTAACGTGGATTTATGAAGTAACTGTGGACTTTTATGAAGGTGTTACTATCTTTGTCAGGTGAAGTTTAAAGATTTTTTCCCATGACTCCTTTACTTCTTTCAAAGGCATGGAAAGCTTATGAAATAAAAGGGCTCTGCTGCAACTTTTTTCCACTTAAATCAATCTTGTAAGAAGGTTTCCTATAAAAGGATGGATTTGGGGTGTGGGAAAAGAGGTGGGAATATTCATCCTTCATTCACACGGCAATAAAGAGGGTAGTGCAAGAGGGCAAAGGGATAAACTTGTTCCAACGGTTTTATTAGCAAAGAAGCCATCTTCTGAAGGAAAATAAATACAAGGAAGACATTTTTGCTTTTCTATATAGCCACAATGAAAATACTAGCAGCTACAGCAAAATCCCTGACCATTAACAATACAACAAAACACCTGAAGATCAAGATGTGTTTCCTCAGGAAGGCTGAAGGTGGGAATCAGTGTGCAGTCCTGTACCCAGGTGCAAGTTTCAGTAACAGTCCATGGTTCTAACCAGACTTGAAAAGAAGAATAGCAACTTGGCCGAGGTAGAAGTAGATGAAGTGCTTGGTCTCATGAGTCACGTAGCTGCCAAAGTTCCTTCCCACAATGCAGTGCCACGTGGGATTGTATTTCTTGTCAAATTCCTACAGAATAGAGAATTAGAAAGTCAGCGTTTTCATGGTAATTATACTAATATTGTCTAACAGTTGGGGAGTTTTTTTTGGCAATGATTTGTCACTTGTTAACAAGTATCACTTTTGGAAGAAGGCAATTAAGGAGCAGCATGTGCTCTTAAGCACAAGGATCATCTGTCACTTTATAACTCATCTGCTGCTTAGTCATAGAAAAAAAAAAGGTGTTTTGAAGCAGAGCAGGAATAAGCTTAAAACATATGTTTGGGGAGATTACTTTTCCCCTAAAGTCATGCCATGATCTCAGCCAATAACTTCTAAGAATTTGTCTGCTTGTTCTGAATCTCCAACGAAAATGGTATTTTGATTTCATCAGCTATTTTTCGCAATAAGGATGCTGAAAGGACACTTGATGGAAAATTCTCTGCCACATCCCTGACACCTGGTCATGAGATGATGATGTGACACGCTGCTGGCAGGAGCCTGCTACAAATAAACTCCTGTGTAAGGTCTACAGCAAACAAACCCATGCAGTCAGTGGATTTTACTGCAGCACCTAACAGCTGTCAGCTGAAGAGATTCTTGTGAGGACATGGAAGTTTCTGTTCTGCTCAACCAAACCCTTTAGCTCCTTGCAGCTCAGTCAGGTTCCCAGTAGGAGTCAAGAGAGAAAATGTGATGAACAGTAAGCTATGAACCATCTGTTCAGCATTAGCATGAACAGCTTGTCTTAAATGTGGTGGGAAAGAAAAAAAACCAAACCCACTTATTACATGGTCTGCAAACCACCACTCTTTAAATAGGCTGCACAGAGCCCGTGTCTTGTACCAGCTCATCAGTCACAGGGACAGTCAGGTGCCACTCTCTGCTCAGCTGGATAATGAGACAGTGGCAGAAAAGGTGTAAGGCATAAGAGAAAAGCAGAAGGACCTAGCAAGGTCCACATAAAGGGTGTGGAAAGGAACAGAAAGAGAGAAAGTCTGACTGGATTATCTAGTGCCTCTATAACTCGTTTCTCTAGAGCTGCTTGCCTAGCAGCGTTCTTCCCAATTGATTTTTCATGAGCACATTACGACCCAACATCTACCTTCTTTATGTGAGCAGCGATGTCCTTCTCAATGTTGTATTTCTCCAAGGCTTGAGTTGCACACTCCAC